CTATACTATTTTACCTGGAGCCTGCTCGCAGTTTTCTCCTGTGAAGCCTAAGGTGCAAACACAGAGGTATTTCTTGCTCGTATATCCTGTGAAGCACGTCCCCTTGTTAAGACAAGGATAACTGGCGCAAAGGTTCTAATGGAGAATACATATTCTTAAAATCACGATAAAAATTATTTACCGTGCTGAGACGGCATATTAGATAGAAAAGGTATTATTTAGATCTCTCGAACCCTGCAACAATTTCAAAAAAATTCAGGTTTTGTCCTGTAAGGTTGGGACATTTGGAATGTTTCTGGAATTGTTGATTTATGGGAATGAACAAATATATTTTCATATCATAATTGCTATCAGTATCAGTATCATTATCATCATCATCATCCATTTTCCTATACTAGGAGATATCGTGTTCATTATCATCAGCAGCAGCAGGAACTCGCCATGAGGATTATCACCCGCCTACTTCAAAAGCTTTAGTTTTTTAATCGAAAATTAGGGAAACATACATTCGGCTGTCGATGGTTTATCCACGTCTGTTTTAAAACTATTTGTCACTGGTACCTCAGTGGTGCCTCTGTAGCTCCAGCCGCGTCTTGGTGTAAGATGTTGTGGGTGCTGTATGTGATCTGAATCACTAAGTTCACACACAACTTTGTCGTTCACAGGCGGACCAATGTTTATTGACACGCATCTACTCTCCATAACACATCTCTGATGACACGGTGTGTATATTCCAATAGTAAGATTTAAAAACACGTGATTTGCCAAATAATGGCCATCGTCCATTGGAAGGAACTTGAGTCGACGACAACCATCTGCAAAGAAATAGGAAGCAAATGGCCTTTTCTTGTTAGAATGTAATAAGTAATATACTCTTACAGAAAACTTCGGGATAGCTGATACCATCTCGGTATGAGCAGAATGGGACTATAGGATCGTCGAGACCCCCACAGTGTCGCTTTTCCCTTAATGGGAAATCTCGTAAAGATTATATGTTCTGCAGAAAGGAAAAGAACATAGGGCAAGCTCGTGGGGACCAAATCTACTCGCTTAAAAGAGAAATTGAATGCTCAATGCGGTGTTCTCAAAGCTAAAGTTCAACGTTCAGCTAGAACGGACAAGAGGATATGTCTTGAGAGTCTTGCAAGAGAGGTAGGGACTGCTATATCCATTACCAGAAACAAGGACTAGTCTACAGGATTAGACTGCAAAAGCACCTATCTCACGTGTATTACGTTCAAATGAGAGGGACCAGGAAGAGCGTTGGGCAGAACACTTAAGGAAATACCTGAAAAAGAGGTTTCAGAGGACCAACTATCACATTGATGTTAGCATCACAGGGGCGGATCTAGGGGGAGGGTACAGGGGTTGCGCACCCCCCCCCCCCCCCCTAAGATGCCCGGCGGTTTTCTAAAACAATTGGTTTTCTAAAAAAAAAAAAAAAAAAAATAAGGGAATTATAGGAGATAAAAAAAAAAAAAAAAAAAAAGAACCACCCCACAACAAAAAACACAACACACACACACCCAAAACACAACACAGGGGTGGAGTGCGGGGGGGGGGTAAGGGGGTGGCCCCCCCCCCCCCCCCCCTGAGATGACCTGCGGTTTTCTAATAAAATTGGTATTCAAAAAAAAAAAAAAAAAACTATGTGGTTTATTGGTGTTGAAGTAGAGCAAGAGACGAGTGCACCCCCTCCTAAAAAAAATCCTGGATCCGCCCATGCATCAAACCACCTACTTAGGAGGAGTTTGTAGTAGCCATTATAGATCTCTAGGATGGCAAAACACTATGGGATACCAAGTGACTGAAGCAATTCACACCAGGTCTTAAAAAGACAAACAGACACTGTCTGACAGTAACAGCTAGCGAGGTATATCACATTTCTATTTCGCCAAGTAAAATCTTTCCTAAAGTCACAGTGAATTATCTCTCTTTGACGGGGGATGGTGTACTGCGAAGAACATGCTCATTTCAGAAAGGTCGGGGCTGCAAAGAACGTATCTATACCTTGAGGGACTACATCGAGCAATGTCATTTGAATAGCAGAATGGATTGTACTTGAATTTTATCGATTTCAAGAAAGCGTTCGATAGCGTGCACACAGAAAGCTTATGGAGTATTCTCCGGATATATGGGCATACCTAAGCACGTTGTCCGAGTAATTAAGCTATTTTTCTTTACTGACTTGCTCGGTTAGATGCTCTGATCCGAGTTGCCCTAATTCCGATGTCCGATATCCAGCATCCTACTTCAATCCTGTGACGTTATTTTCTCGCTAAAATCCGTTCAAGTCGAAAATATTGGTCCAAGAAAACTGTTTTGAGTGCTGTTCTATTCCCTGTGTGCTGAGTGAGCGAAAATGAATTTTAATAATTTATAGGACTTTAGACGACAACTGAACCATGAGAGGTTAGACTGTTTTGTCTAGCACATGCCTAGCATAATTATACCAATTTTAATAAACACTGAACATTGCTTCTAACTAAGAGCTAGATTAAATAACGCTGCTTGCTTGGAAGTGGGTGATTTACAAAATAAGATGAAAACAAAGTTAGTAACAAGAGACAGAGTCCAGGAAAATTAGGCGAACAGATAAATACGTACAAATATATTTCAGCACGAATTCAAAATGATCTAAGCATAACATATTATCAGTAAAGTCGCTGTTAGTTTAGCACCACCTACAGCGTCCTAAGATTGTATAAAACAATTCATGTATTCATCATGTTAAAAGTTATTGCTCCGAAACATACGGGTGAGTCCAAAAACCAAAATAAAATCTAATTGAAATGAAGCAATTTAGTGCAATAACCAGCTAATGTCACCCTCGAGCGGAGAACGCTCGTATAATAGAGCATTACTTACTGTTTTTAATAAGTGGTAGAAGCTTTAGATTTAGTTTTCGCTCTAGTTAAAGTACAGTTTTTTTTACTTGCCTTGGTTTACACCGAGTTCTGTATTGTTTCTTGAGCGGCCTTATAAGAGGTAACGTCCTTTGATTCGCGCACACTTAAAAAAAGACTTCGTATGAATGAGCAAATTAACAAACTTGTTCTCACAATTACTCATTGGTGAGGCGTTATTTGCTATTCTAACTGCTTGTCTTTCCAGTGGGGCTTCAGTTCATCCGTGGGGTAATTTGAAAAAGCTAGGAGAAACCACTTTATCCCACCTCTGATATCGAAGTCTACATACCAGAAGAGTGTAGATGAGCTCTAATTCAGTTGTAATCTCTTTTAGACGACGACACAAAATTATCAACTATAATATTCAGTTACAATTATTGAAAGTGGCTTATAACTCGCCCGGGCTGACGGTCGGCGAGTAGATGATCGAATAGTTTAATTGAAAAAAAAAAAAAACATGAAATGCATTCAGGACCCTGGTTAATTGTAGTTAGTTTTCGCCTTACCTACTTGAGCAGTTGTGATATGATTCAGCCAAGCTCCCCAAACAACACAAACCAGCAAAAGCGATAACCCAGGGAAACAACGACCTGCCATACTGAAGAACGAATTTTGTTTAAGTTTCTTTGCTTTAGTGAGTTTCGTTAACTAACATTAACTAGTTAATGCCAGCTGCAATGGTTGTCATAATAAATAAACATTAGACTTTACCAGTAGTCATATAGATTGGCATACCGTTACATCAAACATAAACGAATTTACATGGAAAAAGATGGTGCCTTAAAATAAGAGCAACAAAAAAGCCTCTCAATTCACTTTGGGGCCAAACCACACCTCAAAGGTATCATTTAGGCTACATTTGCGTATCTTTTAGTTATACATTTCCTTTCATTTCTTGACAAAACTTGCAGGATGGAATTATTAAGAGTGAATGTCAGTAAAAATCAAAGAAATATCACAATTTTGCGGCCACTGTCAAAAAATCGATTCGGCTCTTTTTTTGTCTAAGATAAGGCTAAGGTACTAACTTTAGCGGGATGAAACTAAGTTTTCAAAATACGCTTTCCAACTGTGATAAACGGTCAAAAATGATTTGACCGTGCACCGCTATGCGTGAGCTTGAAATTTCGCCATCTTGGAGACAATCCAGTTCGAGATAAAACATAAGAACTGGTCTTCTCTTGCTATGAGTGTTCAAAAGGGGTCTTGTTCTTCTTGAAAATACCCATATGAATCGTCTTAGGTTATTCCTAATCGATTTTTGACTGTGGCCACGATTTTTCCGATTTTCTTTGATTTTTACCTGACTTTTTTAGTAGCTGTTCGTTCTTTCCTCGCACACATTTTAAGACAAGTTTAGTGATGGTCAGTTACTATGGTTACAAGATATGACATCATAAGTAGCAGGTGGTCAAGCTATTTTTGGATGAAAGCACTTGTTTTTTCAACTTCTTTTAACAATAAAAGCAAATCTTGTGGCTAAAATCATGCAAAGTGCTTATTTATGTGTTATTTATCATGTAAAGAACAAAAAAATCACCATTTTCTCGGGTTTAAACCTGATTTCCAATTCTTCTCCACCCAACGTCCATTTTCAGAAAATATCTATTCGGAAGGCGATTTGAGATCTATAATTTTCGGAACATTTGTTGTAAAATTTCTTGCTTGCCTGCCTCTAGTAGGATTTTCGAACATCTAAAAAATGGTATAATTGCCCATTTTTAACGGATTTTTACCCTAAAAAGGTCACCTAGAATTTTCGAGAGCCTTTTTTCTAGCTGAAATTTTCCAAAAAGGTTAGTTTTGATCCCTATAATTTTCGGATTACTAGACTTTCAGCTAGGAAATCCCAACAGACAAATGTTTAGGGTATGAAAATATGCCTATATCTACCGTTTATATTCTAAAATACATTCAACAATGCTATGTTTAAGTGGTTTTGAACTACCGTAAAATTCCGAAAATAAGCCCTTCCATGTATACGCCCCTCAACGCGGTCACCCAAAAACACCTCCGTTAAATCGCCCCTCCAAATATAAGCCTCCCGGGGGCTTGTACTTGGAAAATTGCCATCAAATACAAAGTAAAACAAAGCTAAACAGTAAATTTACTTCCAACTATAAGGCTAGCCCAATAGATTTTGAAACGCAGATTTCTCCCCGTAGACAAGCCCCTCCAAAAATAAGCCCCTAAAAAAAGGGTTTTGAAAAATATAAGCCCCGGGGCTTATTTTGGGAATTTTACGGTATATTCTCGTTGGGTGCCCGTGTTACTTTTCAACAGTTAATCTCTTTCAAAGTTTGCATTTTGATAATTTAAAGGCGCTCTTTCCAGCAGAGCCGATGGATTTCCCCTAAGATGCATATGTCCATTTCAAGAGTTAAAAAAAAAAAAAAAAAAAAAAAAAAAAAAATATATCGCCGGGGGTTTTTGTGTGATATTTTATGGTTTTTTCCGTTGGGGGCCTGTTTTATGTTTCAATAGTTTCTCTCTTTTAATGTTTTTATTTTTGTAATTTTAAGGGCCTTTTTCCCACAGGGCCGAATGGTTTCCCCCAAAGTGGAAATGTCCCTTTTAAAAGTTAAAAAAAAAAAAAAAAAAAAAAAACTGTGGAGAGCTTCATTGGCGCTGACGGTCGGCCAGTAGATGAGTGAGTACAATTTATATATCGTTAAAGGGGTTATGTCACCCCCGGCGCATGTGCGTGCCAATAAAAACAAACTCGAAAACGTCGCCCCGATTTTTCAAGTTCTGTCGGAAATTTTGGAAGGCTGTTTTTATCTGTTTCAATCTCAGCCGTCGTTTGATAGTTAGCGAAGTTTTTTTTAATTAAGAATCGTTCTGTGGTGATTACAGAAGAATTTTTTTGCGTTATTTTTGAAACCCTTTGCCCTTGAAATTTTTTTTACG